GACATTTTTATTTTTATTTTCATGATATTTAACCAACTCACCATTGGTGTAAATCGTTCTTATAAATAGGTTTAATAATATTAAATAAAATTATTCATAATCAAAAAAACAATCATAAAATCGGTATAATCTTTATCATAAAAAAAAATATTTCCTTTTCTTCTTCAAATAAATTAGGGCTAATTTAAAAAAAAAAAAAAGGTTTAAAGTTCGACACATTCCATAGCTGTACACTCAATAAGATTACTTAAAATACACACGTGGAGATTCAAAATATATGTGGATATTCGTTATCAAGATATGATAAAGGTGTGTGATGACAACGGTGTCGGACGCTATCTTGGCCATACACGGAAACCAAAAACGTTTTGAGTGCAATAAGAAATCATTTTTGAAACTCATAAAGTGTCAAGTCATGATAATGTCAAGAGATTGATTTACCGCCTTTAGTTTTAGAATTAAACTGAAATAATTTAAACCTTGCTCCGAGCTAATTAGGGAGTCGTCAAATTGTTAGTTTATTACAACATCAAAGGGGTCGTAATCTAGACGCATACTATAATTTAGTTGAAGTTGTCAGAATTTTCCGGGGAAACAGACAAGCAAACTGAATATAAATCACTACGTCTTCGATCCCTGATAACCAACCATCCGAAGCGTCTAAAAAGAAGATGGCCTCGTGATCTTCTAATTTAGAAATTTTATTCCAGTACTAACAATGTATACAAATCTTTTCATTCCATTGTATTTTTCTGTATCAAATTAACTAGATTCATTTTTATACAGTACTACATCTCATGAATAATACAAATAAAAAAATGATATCACCAGATCTTGTTATGTGCGATACCAAAAGTCACTCATTGTCAAACAAACGAAAATAGATTTAAATTATTCTTGCTGAATGTATATTAATTGTGCAGTTGTAAATTTTTACGAATACGTTACAAAGAATTTTTTTTAATTTATTCATGAGATTTACAACTGTATAAATTTAAAAATACATCCAGTAAATGTGCACACGGTAATAATACAATCACATGAAAACGCTTGTTGAGAAACTACCCATTGGTAGCATTCTATTAATGTATTTAAATAAGTAGATCACGAGGCCATCTTCTTTTCAGACGCCTTGGAGGATTATCAGGTATCGAAGAGAAAGCAAGGCTTGAAACGAGAGGGTTCGGATGGTTTTGAAGTTTGTTATGGAAGGATAGGTATCTGGATTAGGCTAAATCGGAAACATATGGTACGCTCAGGTTGTTATGAATGATTTTATTTGTGACAAAGTAAGGAGCATTGAGAATTTTGAGAAAGATTTTGGATTGTAAGGATTGGATACGAGAGGGATTCGATAGTTTAATGGAGCCCCAAAGCTCAACTCCGTTAGTCCAGATTGGCCTTATCATAGCCATGTATATGAGTATTTTGTAATACATAGAAAGTTTAGAGCGTTTTTATAGTAGGAGTAGTCGAAAACGTCAAGCAGTTTCTTGTCATCTCAGTCTTGCATGAGGATTCCAAGTGAATCGTTTGTCCAGATGGAGTAATAGGTATCGGGTTTTTTCAACAGCGATAAGTACAGAATTGGTAAAGGATACTGTAGGACAGGAAGTCATACGTTTCCGTCGAAGAGTGAAGGGAATAGTGAAAGTTTTGAAACCATTCTTCAAGGTTTGTGATATGTGCATGAAGAGTTTGGGATACAAATTGATGGATCGTTATTAACTGATAAGATGAATGTGTCATCAGCATATGTGGTGATGATAGTGTTGGAATGGGTTGGGGTGTTAGATGTAAATATCGTGTAAAGGATAGGACCAAGGATACTACCTTGAGGAACAATACAAAGAATACAAATATTTTTAAATCAGCAAATATATATAAATCCCTAAATACCCTATAGGTCACTAAAGTTATCTAAAAATAAAATTTTAATTTAAAGATTACGTTATTATGTGATATTTAAAAAAAACCAAAAGCTATTGCTCAGTAAAACGTTAAATTTCTTTCATTTAGAAAACAGATGAAATATGATTTAATTGTTCATTTAAAAAACCTCAGTAAATTGAATGTTATCATACCCTGGGCTAAGGCAAGAATTTTCTCCATAGTGGTTGTACAGGGAAGAAAATTTCCTTCCATGAACAAGGACTCATGAACTGCTAGCTGCCAAATTTGAGCAAAACGACAAAAATGTTTTAATAAAGAATTTCTCAAGATAGCAATACTACCCCTTTTTCCAGAGTATTCATTCGAGCTATGTGAATAAAATAAGAGAAGCTAAGAATCTTGAGGACTGTTCCCAACATAGGAATAGATTTCCAATTCCAGGCTTATGAAATGAACTTTAACTAATCAAGCGACAATTGTCTTAATAATGCTGAGGAAATTGTTCAGGAAGGAGAATGAAGAGAGGAAAATGAAGTAGAGCTAAATTTTATGGGACCATCCTTCATTAATTCAACAATAAACTTGTTAGTGCAAAAACAATTTTTTTTTTAATCAATACAATGAGTAACCGTAGCGCCGGGGATAATGGACATGGGATATAACAATAAATGGGTATTAAACGAACGCACAGAGAGCAAGAGCTATACATTTTTTATCTACTTCTTCTTTTTTTTTTTTTTAATACAGAGTTGACGTATATAAATATATATATATATATATATATATATAACATTTATATGTTACAGATAAACTACCTCTATTCTCAGGTTGCCATGTGAGAACATTGACATATTAAATCGTTTTATAATAAAAAAATAAATAAAAGGAACAGGGATTTGATAAACAGCAGAAGTTGACACTACTTGGAAATACACGGGGATATTGTCCTGAGGATAATTATTTATTCAGCGATGACACCTCCACATTTGCATGACAAAGGGACGTCGAATAACGAATGTTGGAGAAGGACATAACATGATGGACATCTTGACGTGACGTCAATTAGACTTGGGTGGTTCCCAGAGGCGAGGGGTTTATCGGCTGCCCCCCGCCCTCCCCCCTGTCACGATGGCAATAACCATTCCGGGTATGATGGTAGGAATCTGACGTCCCTGAATAAAACAAGCAGGTCCTGTTATGCCCTGTTTGAATATGTAAACTCACCCGCTGACAGGAGCTCAGTGCTATCGGACAAGCCAGGAATAGCCTATATTTTAGAATGTGGACAGTTTTCTTGCACGTCAGAGGTCCTCACTCCTTATTTAAATAATCCTTCCTCGGATCTCATCTTCTTATTTCAGTCGTTTCCTTGTTTTTGTTCTCTCTATCCAACTCTCCTTATTCTGGATCTAGTTCTAGCTATCCTAATGGATTGTTTTTTCATCATTACATCCTGAACATGTATTTCTCTTGAGAAACCAGTTACATGATTCAGAAAAAACTATTAGTCGATACAAAATCTGAATCGGTCATGATTAAAGGCCATTCAAGTCAAAATACCCCATGAAAGATAAATTTTTAACCACCATATTTACATGCTTTTTAGTATGTTAGTCATATCAACTAAATAAATTACAAATATATTATTTTAATATTTTTTCTTCAGTAGTTATTTTTTTGTAGAAAAATTCAGTAACAGCTGAATTTCATCAAGTTTTTTATTACATGAATGCACGTAGATTTACAAAAACTATGGAGCCAAAGGGATATTAGAAAGATAATTCTAAAGATTATTAAATGGGCTTTTATTTCAGATGAAACATGAGAGCCTAAAAACAACCTGTTATCATAATTTTGAAAATTTTAAAACACGTCAGTTGTTTTAATAAATTTTTTAATTTTATGAATAAAAACATATACAGTCATCCATTGTTCGTAATGAGACATTTACTGAATAATATGTAGTACATTATCTTTCCAGAATGTAACACAATTGACAAAAAGACTTCATTCCATCTATTTTTCTGTAAGATGCTACAGTTTTTTTCCCAATCTATCAACTGCTTTCTGCAGTGCCTTATGAAAAAAAAAACTCCCGGATGAAGACCTGCAAAGTGGGTCGAAACGTCGGCGAAACAATTTAAAATACTATTTCTTAAAAATTTAGTATTTATTTGACCGCACCCTCCGACCAACTCCTTCTTATATCTTTTTTTTCAGTTATATAACATCATGAAAGCTATTGCATGGAGTATTAAATATCTTTATGTACCAATCGGTTGCAAATTTGTGAGCACATATGCGATCAAAAACATGTTGTGATTCAACTGTTTTCACAAACTCAAGAAAAACCAAAAAAAAGATAAATTAAAAATTAATAGCGGATCGTAAAATTTGGGCAAGAAAAAATTATATATAAAAAAAAAGGTTTTGTACTTGCGCGCGTTCAAGCTGTGATTGACAATATATTCATTTTATTAATAAAGAATAGATCATTTTTTAATTCAACAAAATTCAATCGAAGAAGCAGACATCGTTGCACATAGAAACATCGCATATCCATTTTCAACGGTTGATTTACACATCCTGCCACTAGGAGATTTAGGTGAATCATGAAATAAAAAACAAAAAATTAAAACAACCACTTGTACGTTGAGGCAGATTGTAATATTTTTCAATAAATAAGTTTAAAAAAAAGCCTTAACCAACCATAATTACGAATAATATGATTAAAATAAATTATCGACTACTAACATGGTAAATGGATTACAATTGGTAACTTGCAATTTATCAGTGATTTAAGACAAGCGTAAATTTTATAATATGTATTTTTTCTGTATCATTAACGTGCATAGTTAAATGAAAAAAAGGAAATCTCTAAATCTTGTCACTTGAAGGTAACTAAGAAATAAATATAAGCCGCAAAATAGCCTCATTTTAAATAAATAACACTGATTTGACCCATTTACAGGACTAAACCCTTTTAAAAAAAAAATAATTCTGATCTACAATGACCTACAATGCAGAGAACCAGCAATTATACAGGCGACAAGGGCTGTTAAATGAGGCAATTAAGAATGAATCTCTTGCCAAGGGAACACCTGAATCTAATCTATTCCACACATTATGGAGATATCAAGAGCTAAGATGTGCACAACACGACCCGAAAGCTGTAAATAAGGACAGCCTCGCTTCCCTCCTCTCAGGATGGAACAGGCTGCCAGCTCTCTTAGCTCGAGGAATGGATAATTAACAAGATACGGAGCAGGCTTAGGGATTCCGCTGTTAATTGGAAACGTCTTGATGTATGCGATCCATTTTGAGGGGGCAGGGTGGTCCGAAACATCCGGCTCGGTCGAATACCAAATCGACAGCGACTGAGTCACAGTCCGCGATTGGAAACAAGATGTAGGAACGTGCAAGGGGAACATCGAGCAGGTATCAAGATTCGCAACCTCTGGATTAAGTGTCTCCGAACGTTTTCGAAGCCTGATTGGCCTAAATATGTAATAGAAAAAGTAAAAACGTAACCCAATTGAGATCGGAGATCCAATTTCGATCATAATCCTGATCCCAAGTTAATGTACACTACTCATTTGACGCACAATTTTGTGTTTTTCAATTCTTGAAATATATTTTATTAGGTATTGTATTCGGTGGATTAATACCGGCATAATATTTAGCTATCCTTCAAAGAATTAATTCTGGACAAGCCCTTAAAATCAACGCTAATCCCATTCGATCGCAACAGGAATCCATCGATGGAGGGCGATTTTTGCTTGAGTTTAGGAACGACCTGCTGGATTCCCACGGAAGGTGAACACTCCTAGAACGTTACAAAGCACGAGAATAATATTTTTTAAAAATATATATAAAGTACCTATCAATTGAATTGTTCAATTTGAAAACAGAAATCAATGTTGATATGAAGTAAACTGACTATAAGAATGTAAATGGAGAAATAACGCTGAAATTGCAATGAGGTTGCATCCAGCGAATCCATCGATCGTAAAAGCCAACGAAACTTCTGGTCCATCGGAAAATCACTGATTAAATAAAAAAACGCACTAAATTTCATCGATATTTCTATCGATCAGTTAAGATAGGTTCCTCCTTTGAAGAAGGTAAAAAACTGTGTTTTTTATTTATTCATGATATTTACAACTCTATTAAAAAAATTAAATACATTAAGTAAATTTGATAACAGAAAATAATAACATGAAATGACTTGTTGAGAAACTACCCACTGGTAGCACTCTAAAAACAATATGTATTTACAATAAGAGATCTCGAGGCCATCTTCTTTTCAGACGCCTCGGAGGGTTATCAGGAATAGAAGAGGAAGCAAGGTCAGAGACGAGAGGATTCGGATGGTTCTGAAGTTTATTATGGAAGGATTGCTATCTGGATTGAACCAAATCGGCAACATAAGGTACATTAAGGTCATTAGGGTAAATTATGTTAAATCAAGTTTTTCTGCAGGGCTACAATACTACAAAACATATGGAGTATAATATCATCTCCCTTCGATGACCTTCAATACAGTACAAAAAGATATTATTTTAGAGGAAACTACGAATAAAATATTAGGTTCATAAACGTTCATTCTAACAAGACCATGTTAAATCGAATTAGAGTAAAAATAACCACTTACTGTAGTTTTTAAAAGCTATTGTAATTGTTTTAGGGAAAAAACAGAAAATACATGTTATTCATCTAAACTATATGGAATAATTTATAATTTTTGAATTTATAAAATATTCAATTCGTAAAAATGAAATAAAATCTCTCTTCCCTCATTTCTATTCTTACTTCAAATTATGATTCATTTATAACACGTAGGTGAAGAGCGAGCCCCATCATCTTATTGGAAATTAGAAAGAATATAAATAAACAAGAAATTATAATGAGAATACAAGCCTCCTTAATATGCAAAAGATAAACAATATTTGGACCATAAAAGACCCAAAAAAAATTATGTAAGAGGTTAAAAACAAATTATAGTTTTCTACAATCCTTCGTCATAATATAGATCTTAAAACAGCCAAGTACTAAAATAAAATACAGTAGTAATTCCGTGTGGAGATATCATGACGGGATGTTTACAATGGAATGGTTTGTGTACCTCAAGGACTAATACACACCTTGAAGTCAACTTCTGGAACGATCAAGACTGCAATCAAGGGAATACATTATAAGATGTTGTTAGGTGATGTAACCGAACCAAAACAGAGCCCAACAGTACGGATAACAATCGGACCGAAACGATACGTCCTGCTGTTAATGTCAAACCACGACTGGGGTCAAATATTAATCATAATAAAATTAGTATTATTAACAATCAAGCTGTGATGTTTCAACAACAAAACTTAACTTTCATAATATTATAATTAATTCAAACAATAAATACAGTTTGAACGACTAGGAATAATGAAGGCTCACGTGTACGAAAGGTAAGAAACTGCTGAACGATTAATATATTAGCAAGTGATGTAGTTAGTTCGATCTTCAAAAATCAATTATTCTTTTATACTTTTTAAAGATCAAAGATTTCGAAAATTTCATAATTAAAAAAATATATTTTTGTATCCCAAACCCTTCAATCACACATCACAAACCTTGAACAATGGCGTCAAAACTGGAGAATTAAAATAAATTCCAATAAATCCCATCAAATTACCTTACCTTCGTCGTAAACCATGACTTCCTGTCCTTCAGTATCCTTTAACAACACCTCACTTATTCCTGTTGAACAAATCCGTTACCTAGGACTCCACCTGGACAAACGTCTAACTTGGAATCCTCATACCAGACTGAAACGACAAGAAACCGCTCGACGTTTCCGACTACTTCAGCACTTACTAGACAAACGCTCAAACCTTTCAATTAATTACAAAAGACTCATATAAATGACTATAATAAGGCCTATTTGGGTTTACGGAATTGAGCTATGGTGCTCCACTAAACCATCAATTCCTCTCGTATCCAATCCTTACAATCCAGAATCCTTCGTAAAATCCTCAATGCTCCTTACTTTGTTACAAATAAAATTATCCATAATGACCTCAATGTTCCTTATGTTTCAGATCTGTCCAAATCCAAATACCTATCCTTCCATAATAAACTTCGTAACCATCCCAACCCTCTCGTTTCTAACCTTGCTTCCTCTTCAATTCCTGATAACCCTCCGAGGCGTCTGAAAAGAAGATGGCCCCGTGATCTCCTAATATAGACATATTATTAGAGTGCTACCAATGGGTAGTTTCTCAACATGTGTTTCATGTCATTATATCCATGTACGAATTTACTAGATGTATTTTTTTTTTTTATACAGTTGTAAATATCATATAAATAATAATAATAAATAATAAAAAAATATATATTTAGCTATTGAATTATTACAAAAAGAAAACACAAAAAAAAAAAAAAACATTTATTGTTCAGATAAAAGAAAATTAGCTCATATAATATTTCTCAGGTATTGTGTATAAAATACTCTGATTTTAATGTGATAATCAGGAAAGGGATTTCTCTTGTAGACATTTTTAATATTATTTTTTGTTTATTTAATTTATCATACTTTTTTTTTTGTTGAGAGAATCCAGCATTACTCAAATCTTAACATCGACATTACAAAATATAGATATAAAACTATCGGATAATAATAGGTAACATCGGATAATTTTGTTTTTATTATAAAATATATGTTCAATTTTCAACTTTCAACTGATAGGTACATCGATACATTAAAACATCTAATCCTCAATTATGTTTTTTTTTTTTTACGATTATGGAGAGAAAAAAAAATAAAAGAAATTTTTAGATATTTGGTTAAGCTAATAACAAAAATTTCAAACAAATGGTATAGACTGGGTGAAAAAAATATATCATGTATTAAGAATCAAATGATAATTACAAAATCTTTATGTGAAAATTCCCCAGAAATATTTAAGCTGAGTAGCGGGAAGTCGACATAGAAAAATATATAATAGACTGCAATAACCAAGTCGAATATCTAAGTTTGGTTACATGAATGTTGAAACCTAAATCTCAATTCAAGTATCCAGTAAGCTGAATGAATACGGTAGGAATATTAGACAAACATTGAAAAGACCATAAGCAACGTGAATATAATTATCAGAATCTTAAAGTCGGCACCATAGAATAATGCAGAGTCCTTATATATATATATATATATATATATATATATATATATATATATATATATATATATATATATTCCTGGAAAGTCTCTATTCAGGCGAATTTCGGACAATTAAAGAGATTCAATAAAAAATGTTGCTAGTTCCAGAAATAGATTACTGGGGACAATCATGTGGTATCTATTGGGTTCAAAAAGTTCCAAAGAGGAATAAGAAATCAAGTGGAACAACCACGAAACATCTTTTACAACATCGGCACAATGAGGATTAAGCGCTATGGATATGATGAGGATGGAAGAGGAAAGAAGACGGGAGAAAGATTGCCCGAGGGGAAACTGAGGGCGTAAAGAACTAGAACATATGACTTATGTAAAAGTCGTTAAATAAAATAAAATAATCTGATCATGCAGAATATCGTCTTTCTTGCTCATAATCTATTAAAATCCAATTACCAACATAATCCGAACAAGGAATGGCTCAAAAATATTAAAAACTCAAGCAAAAATCCACAGTTAGTTAATGAGGAATTCAAACTGTCACCATCGTAGATTCTTAGCATAGAAGAAATACTTTGTACACGTAATGAATTTCTGGATCTATTAATTTTCCTGGATTGCGCCCTGTGCTGTCGTTAAGAAGGATAGCGCAGTATCATTAGGATTGATATGATGGATGCGTTACACAGGGCTGGCGGTGCATTAGAACCGACTTCTACCAGCATTTCTCAGTTATTAAAGTGGATTCCTCAAAGGCTTAAAGAAATTAAAAGGATGTCCTCATAAGGCTGAAATGTCAGGAGCTCCAAATCATCAAGCGTTTCAAAATCACACCTTTCACAGCCAGCTAAAGGTCATTTTCGACGAAAAAATGAGTAAATACGAAACAAGTATCAATAAAATCCCATTTAAAAAATAAAGGACCTTGTTTGAGATAGTTTAATAGAATACATAAGCATTTCGGTTCGTTCCACGTTACACTAAATTAACGACACAATGGGACAATACTAACCAGAAAACTCATTAAAATCAACCTTCAGGGGAGACATGGTATTTCCTATTCAATTTTTCCTTTCCTCCCAGATGCTTAACACTAGAACAAAATCTATTTTTCGAACCTATTCATAGAGTCGCCCACGTGATAGCGATATCTTCAAGGTCAGGTCCATTACATGTGAAAGTAAAACAATAATATTTCATTAGCATTAATATTAATATTTTAGTTCTAATAAGACGTGTCATTTTCTCTCATTGTAATAAATTCCATTATATGACTATTTAAAAACCGGATAGCTTGAAAATAAAAAAAATTATTAAGCCTTTAATTATGATATTGACAAAGAAACGTTGTATATCAATGTAAACAATTCAAAAATTCACCAAGAGACCGAAATTCAATTTAAGGTTATACTGGGAAATTTAAGAATCCGGGGTGACTCCAGAATAGAAATAAAAGAAGATTAAAATAGAAAAAGTCTTAAATTATTGTTTTACACAACAAACCAATAAAATTCCGGATTGCCGAAAGACAATGGAGGGAGAGGGCAATAAATAAATATTACTTCAACAGTCGTTATAAATTATATAGTTCGACGAATTGGGTGTATGGAATAGACTTCCATGATACGATATTTTTTAAAGCAATCAGCATTTATTGCTTAATTCGTAATGTATTAGGATGAAGACAGATATCTACAGCAAGAGTTCCCGTTCGAAATATATTAGAACAGTAGTCATGTAGTGAGCTTAGAACCGCAGTAAGGTACATAAACAAATATTTTTTGATCATACATAATTAAACATTTAAAAAACTACCGAGCAATCTAAAATTAAAATTAGTATAGATCTATAATTGAAACACTCCCCACATATCAGAATGCAATGATGGGCAAACACAGAAGGCAGTCGACCACACACGATATCTTCAAGTATCTCGTGATCCGCGAGCTGACAGCAAGATATCCATCTGGCATCCTTGGCCATGTTCCCCGCGCCTCTTCTAGCGATTGAGTTCGTGCCCGGCTCCTTGTTTCCACTTCGTCGGCCAGCCTAAGTGTCACATAAGACACTGATGAAATCATTTTTACGTTTTAATCTTCTAATATAAATAATTCAGAAATCGTTCGTATTTGAATAATTGTCGATATAATTTGTTCGACTGTACGAATTTCTCTTCGATTTCTATATTTTTTTTCAGGGGATTACGTACTATTTTAAACAATCTTGGGTGCAACCAACAAAAAATAGTTTTTGAGTTGTTCGAAATCAATGTTTCTCTTTCTTCATAACATTTTTTCCTCAAATTTCGGTGGGGAGATTGGAGGGGTGACCGTTTTTTCCACCTGAAAGAGAAAAGGGTCTTCGAATTGAGGGCTTATTGGATTTGATGAAGATATATAATAAAAAAATCTGGTGTGTCAACTCACACGACTTTCCTACCTATTTCACAAAAGCTTTTATATCTTTACATATGTTCATGAAGAAACAAAAAAGAATTGAACTAGTTACATTTTCCTGAAAATTGATCAAACATAAGATTTTAGTACGATTTATTTAGACTAAACATAACAACCGCAAACAACCGTTAGTTTAAAATTTTGAAAATTCAGAGATAATAGTGAAGATTGTGTGGTGTGGCATCGATTTCTACTTTCACTTAGTCATCTGTTTTCTAATTTACCAGCGAAATATATTCTATCAAGTGTCGGTAATATAGTGCTGATTCTTATTCACTAGTTTTCCAAAATGAACGATTTTTATATGGCTTTGTAGGATTTCATTACCTTTCGAACGACAGGCTACTAAAATTCTTGAAATCGAAGTTTTAAGCATAATAATATAACCATCAGCTTTTCAATTTATTGCGCGCAAGCTATTCCACGCGGAGCACCAAATTTCTGTCACAGGCATTAGTAGTCAAATCCCTACAAAATAAAAAAAGAAGCAACAAAGTCGGTTCAGTAGTTTCCGAGAAAATCTTGGCACAGACAGACAGACCAATGGCTAAAAATGTCTTTTTCTGCTCGGTTTGCGCTGTGATTGACATGAAACGAGTGACTCTTTTCCCCTGAAGGAAAGAGTCTTCGAATTGAGGCTCATTGGATGTGATTAAGATATATAATAAAAAAAAGTACTATTGAGAAATGATACATAATGATAATTTTATAGGATAACAATTTAAAACTTATTTCTGAATTGTAGCGATTTTAATATTCTGCATCAGGACGATTACAAAGAGGGTAATGAACGGAACTTGTGACAATAAGCTAGCGGTACCCGAGAGAGAGCTATTATAAATAAATCCATTAGGTGGGAAACATTAGCCCGAACTGGAAGGATATATTGGGCGGCGATAAGGGAAGGTAATGGCGTCTTCGCTCTTAGTACGGATAAAAGGCACTTCTCCACGAGCACATTTTTAAGCCAAATTAATTAGGCTTAAGTGCCTCCGGATTCCGGGGTTTTCGGGATCCATTTTATAACAGTCCGTTTAGGCTCCAGATGGAATGGTACAGTGGCCGTGATAAAGTGCGACACGATCTCGGACTTAGCTCCAAGTTCTTCTGAGACACTGGACAGTGAACACCGGGAGCTCCAGCATTGCCTTTAATACTGGATAATAAATTTATAAAGTTCGTTCACCTAATCTTAGCTGAGGCTCTGATAAATATCCGTGATTGTACAGCTAGAAATAAAAACGTTACTTCAAATAATTCTGAATGAAAAGTTCCACTTTTTAAAAAAAAAAACGCTCTAAGGAATTTATTTATTACAATGTTCTAGGTTTACATTTTTTTTCCTGAAGTTTCAAGATTAGTTTTTTTTTATTATTAATTTATTTAATTTTTTTTAAATTTCTTAATGACATTTACAACTGTATTAAATAAATACATCTAGTAAATTTGGACATAATATATATAATGGCATGAATACACTTGCTGAGTAACTACCCAATGGTAGCACTCTAATGATATGACTACATTAGGAGATCACGCGGCCATGTTTTTTTTATGTTAACAATAAATATTTTTTTCTGTTTTGTGTTTTCTTTTTGTAATAAGTCAATTAGCTAAATACATTTTTTATTTATTATTATTATTTATATGATATTTACAAATGTTAAAAAAAAAACAAATAGAATATATTCATAATTGGTAATTGGTTGACTGTCGTGGATAATGAAGAGAAGAATAGTTGGGTGCTCAGTCAAAAAGGAAGGCAAAAATAAATTATAATATTTATTTTTTACATCTGCCGACGTTTCGACCTGAAGTTCAGGCCATCATCAGGGCTTTCTCTTAAAATGTCAAAGTGAGAATGGAACAAATAGAATACATCCAGTAGATTCGTACATGGATATGACATGAAATACATGTTGAGAAACTACCCATTGGTAGCACTCTAATAATATATTTACATAAGTAGATCACGAGGCCATTTTCTTTTCAGACGCCTCGGAGGGTTAACAGAAATTGAAGAGGAAGCAAGGTTAGAAACGAAAGGGTTGGGATGATTCTGAAGTTTATTATGGAAGGATAGGTATCTGGCTTGGGCCAAATCTGAAACAAAAGGAACATTAAGGTCTTTATGGATAATTTTATTAGTTACAAAGTAAGGAGCATTTAGGATTTTACGAAGGATTCTGGATTGTAAGGATTGGATACGAGAGGAATTCGATGGCTTAGTGAAGCCCCAAAGCTCAACAGGGTAAGTGCAAATAGGTCTTATTCTATTCATGCACATGAGTATTTTGTAATTAACTGGAAGCTTAGAGCGCTTGTCTAGTAAGTGCTGAAGTATTCGGAAACGTCGAGCGGTTTCTTGTCGTTTCAGTCTAGTATGTGGATTCTAAGTTAGTCGTTTGTTCAGGTGGAGTCCTAGGTATCGGATTTACTCAACAGGGATAAGTGGAGTATTGTTAAAGGAAACTGTAGGACAGGCAGTAGTTGGTTTACGACTATTTAAATTTAAAACTGCATTGAATAAATACAAGCAGTAAATATCAACAAATCAAGAATAATAACATAAACAGACTTTATTTTTTTGGGCCCTCCACTTCCTCATCTTTAAGGCTATACGGGGTTTTCCCGGGCCAGGGAGTGAGGGCGATGATTTAAAAGAATCAACGGCACGTGAATTGGTGACTATTTTTATGCAGTTGTCTCATGTATCAGGTTGCCGGGCAACGGTGGATCTGTGCAAAACGCGTTAGCCCATTCGGCCATCCCGCCCACAACATAAACAGCCTTGTAAATATACTACCCAATTAATTAACTTAATATGAATTGAAACTCAGTTGTCTTTGTTTTAATTTATGCGTTTATAAAGACTTCCTGATGTTCATAAAGGTTTTCTGGGTTAAATAATATCTTGATAAATTTAAACTTGGAAAATAGGAAGGCAGTAAGTAACATGTTCCATATGGTTATAAAAGAATACAAAAAGTAACGGGTACAAAAATAAACATCCAGTTATTTTTCAATCCTTTATAGCTTTTATTGAGAAATTTAAGTGCTCTATAAAAGAGTTTAAAATTCTATTCACAACCATCTTGGCAAGATCATAATCAGATAAAGCCACATCATTTTTAAATACTTAATTAGGAACGGAATCGCATAATTTAGAGTCATCCAATGAAAATATAATTAAAAAAAACTAGTCGTTAGGAAATATAGGGAAATTTAAGATTAAAATATATATTTTTTTTTTATTCATTGATATTCACAACAGTATTATAAAAAAAAACATCTAGTAAATGTGCACTCAGGAATATAATAACATGAAACCGCTTGTTGAGAAACTACCCACTGGTACCCGCTCAAATAAAATAAATTTAATTGTAAAATATAAAAAAACTGAATAATAAATAAGAAATAAACGTCAAACTCAAAACTTTATGTATATAGCAATAATACAGGTTGTATTTAGAACTATTCTATTTATTCAATAAGAAAAAATAAAATGATAAAAGTGGCCACTTGATACACGAAGCTAATCTTATAGAAAGTAGACAAACCGCATGTAACAGCAATTATTTAAACATGGCTCACAATCATGTAACCATATGGTAGTTACATGCGAGGTACGTGCTTAATAGACTGCTGGAATATAATGCTGGAAATCCATCCCTCTTCAATGAAATAACAACCTGACAACATCGGATAGCTAATTGTTCGATTAAAATTGAATTAATAACGAGAAAGTTTGCGTAAACACTTACAGAAGTTGTCAATGACACATGCAATCTTTTAGTAATCCACTATCAATTTGTTTTCTCCTCTCAGCATCTTATGAGCAAAATTTATTTTTATTAAAAAAGTTCAAATAGTGCTTCTGACTATACGGATAGAGCTATACGGAACACAATATCGTTTTTTAAAAACTCATTTAGTCTTGCAAGAGAAGTTGTTTGGGGTGTTTAGTCAAAATACAAAGTAAAAAATAAATATATATTATATTTATTTGTATTCTCTTTGTGCCGACTTGAATGAATTTTCATGCTTCATCAGGGCGCAGGTTGGGGGTGGAAGAGGGGGATCCGCTCGAAAGATTTGAGACGAATGATGAAATCTTCACAACGGATTCATATTTAATTTATGATTTATTTTGTAATTTAAACTATATCAATAATAAATACTGCAATATATTATAAGATGTACAAAATGGAAAGTTTTCAAGGTGCAATGGCAGATATGGGATAGGAACAAATCCTTCAGGAACAGCTGGAAATCCTATTGGGGCAAAGAGGAATGCATGACATCCACTCTCACTTTTAACGAGTGCTTTAACCCAACCTTGTACCGTTCCATCTTCCTTACCTGTTCTCCCAGAGGATCCAAATGCGTACTCTTCAACATGGAAACTGCTTAGAGATAACAGGACGTACTCGAATTCCTGCGAGTTAGCATCATGTTATACCCAATTAAATTCGTGTATACATAACATTTAAACTTATAATTCCTGTAAAATTAAATAGACGGAATTTCTATAAAACATCTCCATTCAAAAATAGTATCATCAATGGAGCGTAATATTATTTGACCATTTGATGTCCGCGGGCTTTACATTATTTTAAAAGATT